TCTTTTATACAGGTATGTGCGATTGTCCCGGTATATACGATCAACGCCCACACTTCACCCTTTAACGTTCTCATGGTGTTCTCTACTACGTCCTCCTTACAACACATAGGGCGCACCGCGCTATAGGGCGCACCGCGCTATAGGGCGCGCCGCACTTTTTGAAGAAAATCTAAGACTTTTAAGTGCGCCTTATGGTCGTGAAAATACGGTAACCTTATGCAGGTAAGCTATTAGAAAATCTAGATTTATTTTATTATTATTTTTTTAAAGACAAATTTTGCTATTTTTTGAAATAAGGTCAGTGCTATTATCACAAATCAATACATCTTTTTGATTAAACATATTATATATTTTGATTCTTTTGTTAAAATATACAATATTTCACTGTAAAACAATTATATTGATGACACTGTATTATCAATTTTAAGTAAATGTAGTGGACATAGTAAATGCTCTTGTAATTAAACTAAAATATCTTCAAGTGGTATATTGCTTAATTATGAAGTAAAATGCCATCATCTGAAATATTATTTACCGCTGAGCATTGCAAATTCACTGCTATGTCTTGTTTTCACAGGTAACGCAAGGAAACCTTGACTGCTTAACAAGAAGAAAGATGATTAGGGTGTTCTGAAGGAATTTTGTATTGTAAAACAAGAAACTTTTTCTACAACTTGGGGGGAGCTTGATGATGTGTAGGCAAAACAGCAGGAGGACAAAAACCAGTTTCAGTTAGTGGAGATATATTTGGGAACCAGAGGTGTTATTAAAGGAAAAAGAAAATCTTATACCATCTCAATGGCAGCTGGGTGAGAAAAGGAAGAATTGTTAGAGAGAAATACTGAAAAGAAAGAAGTTGCTGGAGCTAATAGAGACAGCATCTTGTTAGATGGAAAAAGGAATCAGATCTACAGAGGGTCATTGATCTGATGAATATCAGTGGATATTATAATTACAATTGTTTCCACTACACAAACATTCCTTAAGAGGTCACACATTAACTATACCCAACAACCAAAGTTCAGTTGTCAGTATATAACCCAACTTGAGGTTAAAAGAGTAAAATATAGAAAGACAAAGACATAATGGAAAACTTGATGAGTACTGTTTAATGTGTATGTAAATCTTCAAGACTTCAAATATTTTTTTTAAGAAAATAAAGCAAACCACAAATGATCCTAATCATGTTTGAATATTTTGGGTTAAATATTTTGGGTTAAGTCCACATAGTTCATGTCCTTCTCCATGTGTGTCCTTTTCCATTTATGCAAAAATTGCATAAATTAAAAATGGAGAAAAAAGAGAGAAATAAAAGAAATCTTTAACAGCTACCAAACTGCAAATAAAGCAGTGTCAAAACACAATTGATTTGAACTAGAAGCAGCTTAATAAAACAAGTAAAAAATCTGCAGTGTGATAAACCTTATATCTGATTGAGTGCACATTCATGCAAATGTAAACTTATCATAAAAATTAAATACATTACTTTTGTTTTTACAATTATCCTTGGTAATAAATTACTTTACTTAACTTTATTGATTTATATATTGATTTATATTGCTTCACAATAATATAAAATAGATAAACATAAAACAGCATAATCAAATATACAGCACCAATCTAATTAAAAGCTAGTCAAAATAAATGAGTCTTAAGATGAAGTTTAAAAGAATAAATACAATCCAGGCAACGTAGAGATGGAGGGAGTGAATTCCACAATCTGGGGGTTTTATGCTGTGTAGGCCAGTTTATTTCTTGCATTTTTGTGCCACATTTGTAAGGAAAATGCATTTGTGGGTTGAGCAGGAGAGTTGAGTATGTGGACTGTGTTGACAACATACTTGCAAAATCTTCTCCGCCAATACCAAATAGCTTATTCTGCTACTGGTTCTCATTTGTTGTTGTTTATAGAACCATATCACCCCATTAGAGCACGTTGCCCTCAGCCTGCAGGCTTACTTGTTTTTCCTAGAGTATTTAAAAGTAGAATACCCCTACCGGTTGCAGCAGATGTCCCCCCCCTACCTGAGCCTGCTTCTGCCGGAGGTTTATTCCTGTTAAAAGGGAGTTTTTCCTTCCCACTGTCACCAAAGTGCTTGCTCATAGGGGATCATATGATTGTTGGGTTTTTCTCTGCATCTATTATTGTAGGTTCTACTGTACAATATGAAGCGCCTTGAGGCGACTGTTGTTGTGATTTGGCGCTATATAAATAAAATTGAATTGAGAGTCTTTGGTTTTCAGCACCCTCTTCAGAGGAACCAGCTTCCAGTTTGGATTCGGGAGACAGACACTATCTCTACTTTCTATAGAGCAATAATAGCTTTTTTAGGGCTTTTCACATTGTCTGCCTCTGAGCAGCTGGTTCAGTGTTTAGTTAGAGGTAATTTCATAAACAGTCACAGCAGGGTATCAAGTGGCTGGAATAAAAAAGAAAGAAAAAGGGAAAAAAAACGTTTTCATTAAATCCATCCAAAATCTGAAAGCTCAAGTTCCCAATTACCACACAGCAGTACGCTGGGGATCTACATTTAATGTGACAGGACAATAGAGATTAGTTATTTAATGTATAATTAAATAAAAAAAAAAATATTGCTCAATGAATAATCCTTTGAACAACACATCACTATTTAAATGCTGTTCACTAAATTTTGCCCTTTAACCAGCTAAATGAACACATGCTGAAAACATAGCAGGTTTAAATATATGAGTGGTAGTAATTTTAACATAAGGCTAACAAGCTGTCTGTAAATCCAGGTATGTTTTTCCCATATTCAAAAAGACATTAATTATCTACAGGATTCCGGTCCAGATACCTGTTTTTGAATAAAAGTGTTCCATTGAATGATAATAATAAAAACCCAATGTGTCCGTTGAGTGGTCAACAGAGCTGAAGTCTGTTTTTCATTAAAATCAATTAAAACTTGCAAGATTGTAACTGCAGTTTGTAAAGACTGGGACCAGACACACTGTTGTGTATACACTGTTCTTGTGTATAATTTTGGAAGTGTTTATTGATGCTGCACACAGTAGTTTTCATGGTTCGGCACCCCGTCCATCAACTTTCCAGCTGGCTGCACGCACACACTCCTCCCTCTCCAGTTTCACTATAAAAAGGGAAACCTCTTTAAGATAATCAGCATCACCTGTCCCTCTAACCTCACTGGCACTGCCACTTTTGAGCTCACTCCACCACCCCTCCCCGGCAAATGATCCAGGGACCACACCTCCACTACACAGTTGAACAAGAAAGGCCTCAATACACACCATATACAAGCCTTTATGTACATTGTGTGCCAAAAATAACAAAGTGTTCAAAGTACAAATCTGTTTGTATTACCTATCTAACAGTATCTTGGATTAAATATTAGCCAGTCTGTTTTTTGCTGAAACAATAAAACAATAAATAAGAAGTCGGTAAAACCTATAACACACCACATGATCTTTTTGAATGTATATAATTGTCTAAAGCTTTCATTCTTTAGCAACTTGTAAAAATGAATTAGAGATCATGTGTCTTTAGTATCCACGCAGCCATGCTGAATTGCATATCTTAAACTCAACCTCTTTTTCATCCACACACGCACACACACCACCACCTTTTTTATGGTGTCCTGATCAAAGTACAAACCAGTCTGAGGTTTTTGAACACAGCTTAAGGAGGGGAGAAGGGTTGTTTTGACGAGTGTACAGGTATTTAAGTTTTAGTTTTTTAGTTTTTTTTGTTGTTTTTACTGAAGATGTTAAATTGTTGGTGCTATATTTGATTATATTTTAAGACTTTTTACAAACCACTAATAACAAAGGAAAAAATCTTTAGGAGGTCAGGAAGACGACAACTCTTATCCTTGGTACTGCAATTATATTTGCGAAGATACCAATTTTATTTTTAAATAACCAATCTCATCCCAATCAAACTTTTTTTCATTGTCAAAACAGTGTTGTGTTCTTTTATGAATAACAAGAATAAAAACATATTTGCTAACATTTGACTTTTAGCACTCCAGTATTGCTCTTCATGGATGGAATTTTTCTTAAGCCTCTGCTCAGAAGAGTCACTGCTTTGGTTTTCCAGCACATTGTGGTCGTACTTCTGCTGACACTAGTTTGCAAAGGTAACTGTTAAATAAGTATATACAAATGTCCAGTTTAACTATTGTTTGATTCTTGGAAACAGAAAGAGAGAAAACTGCCACTGAACAATTGGTGACTCCACCTATGTAATCGGTTCTCAAAGTAATGTTTTTTTTCCTCCTTTATTATTTTTTTCATTAACAAAGTAACTTATTCGAACAGGGCAAAGCAAACATGACAACGATAATTGAATTTGAATTTAAAATAGACTTACTTTTTCCTAGGGAATTCACAGAAGATCGGTCCATCTCCGCCATTGATAGCAGTGGCTGGTGACGATGTTGTTTTGCCATGCCAGCTGGAACCTCCTGTGGATGCTGTTCAGATGACAATTGAGTGGGGAAAACCTGATTTGAACCCCAGATTTGTGTTTGTGCGGCATAATGGACAGGAGCTTCAGACTGATCAAAACACAGCCTACAAGGGAAGAGTGTCACTGTCCATCGATAAGCTAAAGCACGGAGATGTTTCACTGAAGCTGTCCAAAGTGAAAGTCTCTGATAGTGGAAGATACAGATGTTACATTCCACAACAGAGTAAAGAATATTTTGTTGAGCTTCTAGTTGGTAAGTAAATAAACTCTGCTATATCTTCTTAATGATCTATGAGCAGGTT